CCTGCCCCCCCCCTTCGACGTATCATTGTTGCCGTTGTTTCGTCGTGTTCGCCGCGTCTGCAGCGCGTTCTCTCGAGCCGCTTCCGCGAAGCATTCCTGGCGGCGGTCCTGCCCCGTCCACTGCGCGAAGCGGGCGCCTTGCTATGGGCGCAGCCGCCGCGGCGACGCGGCTCGCGGCAGGGCTCGCCGAGCGCGGTCCTTTGCAAGATGTGGTCCGCGAGGCGGTCTTCCGTGCTCTGGGCGCCGGCTCGGCTTCGACCGCGGGAGTCATCCAGCAGGCCCTAGGCCCCGTCAAGGAGACCGCTGTTTCGATTTCGGCAGAGCTGGCCGTTTTCCGCGCGCAGCTGGACACTCGATTGCAAGTTCTGCAGAAACGCGTCGAGGAACTCGAGGAGGTCGATGCGCAGTTGGGCGCCACTTTCCCCTGGAGAAAGACAGAGCGCGAAACGGATCCGGCTGAGTGGGCTGCGGGGTGTCGCCGCATCAGCGTCGATTCCGACTGTCTCAGTGACGCAGCCAAGAATGTGCAGGGCCCATCCGTCGCCGACCCGACGGCGGCGATCATTGCTATCCCCAGCCGCCCAGACGCTGAAAGACCGAAGCAGGCAGTCGGTCTCAAGAGCGCTCCCAAGCAGTGTCGGAAAACAACTTCTGCTTGGCCCCGTTCGGGGGCAGCCCAGAGAACTTCCCGTCCGCGAAGGCGACTGACGGAGACGCGGCGGTTTCTGCCATCGCTCTGAAATGCCTCTGGCATTTGCTCATCCTGGAAAAGCAGTTAACTGACGCTGACACGGCCAAGGCGAACTCTGCCGGCAGGATCAACGCGCAGCGTCTGGAAATGATGCCTGCCATCTTCGCTGGCATCAAGTCCATGAAGAGAAGAGTAAGGGAGGCCTCAGCTCGCAAGCCGCTGGATGTGGCCCCCATGCAAAGGGACTTCTGCCCTGACTGGCAGCTCAGTCTGACGCACCTCGTTGCCGCCCTGTTCGCGCTCGCAACTGGGTCGGCCCAGGCGAGCCAGTTCCCGGCCAAGCGTCTCCGGACAGATTCCGGCGACCCGGTGCCATCAAGTCCCCCCTTCGAGTTCTCCCGGCGGCGGGGCATCATTCCTGGGCGCCAACAGCTTGCCGCCGGCGCCCCCAACTCCGGTTTGAGTTCAGGCGCCGCAGCAGACCCGCCCGGCCAGCGGCCCAGCCAGCGGTGGCGACAAGAAGGCCGCCGCCGCTGCAATCCTGAACGACCGTCGGCCGGCGGCCATCCAGGTCTACGCGGACCAGAAGTTCCGGAGCGTGCCGGCAGAGGTCGCTGGCATTCGTAGCGTCCTGAGCAATTACTGCCGCCGCTGCGTCCTGAACATCCGTCGCGTGGTCAAGCATTCGCGCGGGCAGTGCCGCGCGGAGGGAGGCGAGCCGAGCACGCCGCGCGCGCGGTGCGGCGCAAGCGGGACCATGGCCTACCGCAGGCCCGAGGATTGCCCCGGCGCGCGCTGAGTGCGTTGCAGAGCAAGTGCCCTCCGCTCTCGCGCTCTCGCTCTGCCTCGCCCTGTCTCGACTTTCCCTGTCTCCCTTTCTCCGCCCCCCCCTCCTGGCGCGGCGCCCCACGCAACTCGATATTTCTCTGCGCGGCAGTCAGCCTTTGTGATTCGCCACTCTGGCAAGTGCAAACTCGCATCTGTCGCCGCTTATTGTTTTAGATTTTGGACGGATGTCACCGCGCATCTGTAGTCGTTCCCTCTGGCAGCGCCCGCCCTCGCAGAGCCTCCTGCTAAAAAGTGGCGCTCGCTGCAGGCTGAGTTCTTCGTTTGTTTCCTTTTTCCAGGTGAAAGGCAGTCCCCTCGGATGCGTTCCGGGGGGCCGTTCTGTCCGCCCCGAAAGGCCTTGGCGGCCTTCGGTGAGCCCGCGGGGGGCCCAAAAGCATTCGCCGCCCCGGGGTCACCTTGGGCCGCGGAAAAACGCGACCATGCAGCCATCAGAAGACAGCTCTCGCTGATGCCGAGTGCAGGCACGGAGGCATCGGCGCGCGCGCTTCGCTGTCCGCGCGCGCGCGTGCGCAGCTTGGCGCGCGTCCGTTCCGTGGTGGGTTGGGCTTTGGCGCGCCTGGTCCAGACGTCGTGCACCTCCTGCATGCACCCCCCGGGTCGCAACCGCCATGGGTGCTGTCGAGCAACAGGAGGTGGCCCAGAGCAGGCCGTCGCCTACCGCAAGGCCAGCCGGGTGTGCCTCGCTCCCAGTCTCTCCGGCGACCGGCACGCGGACTGGAGATTCCGTTTTGGAGCGCATGCGTTTCCTGCCGGTCCAGATTTTGTTGCCCAAGGCGCCAGCGATGTCGTCCGCTGCGTCTTCTTCTGGAGAACATATTTTTGCCAAGGCCCATCGGAAATGCTGGGGGCTGGCTGGGGGCCATCGACCAAGCATGCTTACGCGAACGCTATCAGGTTCCACGTCCACGGTCTGGAACACACAGTTGACGCAACTATGTTTCCAGTAGACTTGGTTGATACATTAATTCGGTTGTTCACTGGAATGGACGGGATGCCGTGGTCGGCAAGTCAGCTCAATAAGGCCGCAGTTCGTGCCTGGCATATGTGTCGGGGCTTCGATTGCGCGTTCGATTCTTGTTGGGGTCAAGTGGGCTCATCAGTTTTTGGGGGTCATCAGAAGAGAGCCGGCACGACGGCCACCAAAGAGAGGGTAACTTGAATCGACGAATTTGCCTCTTTCATCCAAGCCCGGTTCGCCGCGGGCTCTGTCGCGGGGGCCCTGGGCGCCGCGTTCGTTGCGTTCTGCCTCTTCGGCAAAGCTTCTGCCTTCCTTGCCGCGGGCGTCAAGTTCGACGCGGAATGCGCCCAGTGCGTCATCCGGCGCCAGAAAAACGACCTGGAAGGCAGAGGGCAAACGCGCGTGATCCCTAATTGTGACAGGCATCGGCCCGGCCCGTCTGATTGAAGGCTGGTGGAAGTTCAGAAGAGGAATGCTATCGGCCCTGCGCATTTTCTTCTACGCCACAACTGGCGCATCGCACGGGCCTGTAAGTCCCGATGCATGGAAGAAGACGTTTCCATGGCAGTCCGCGTCCTTGATGCGCGCCGCGTGCGCCGCAGCGTCGCCGCAGCACTACGCGACGACAGTTCCTGTCTGCGTCGGTGGCTGCGGTGGGCGCTCCGCCGGCTGCGTCGCGTGACATCGCGGCCGCGAAAGCCGCCCTGCCGCCCTTCCAAATCGCCGGGGTCAGTTCGGCCCGCGTCGCCAGTAGAGGGGCCGAAGAAGCCCCGTTGGCTGCGGGGGAAGCAGAAGCCTGGGATGCCCCTTATGAGGGTTCCGCGGCAGCGTCTGCCAGACGAACCCAGGAGCGTCTTGTGGTAGCAAGTGGGTCCCCGCCCGCGCTCCTGCCCGTCGTCTCGTTCCCTCCGTTTCCACTTTCGCACGCGCGCGCGCCATGGGGCCATTCTGGCCTTCGCTGCGCGACCCGCCCGCCGCACGTTGGATCGACAGCCTCAGGGGGAGTTTGGGCTCGAAGCGGCTCCCATGCCGCGAAGCTGGGGGGCTTCCCTGCCATGGGGGGCTGGGCAGAGATCCCCCCCTGATGCTGGGGCAAAGCATCTAGGCGTGGATGTTTCTCTTCACGTGTGCAGACGTAGATGTCGCAGACACGTTCAGAATGGGATTTCAATAATGTTTGAAAGCACCGTTTGGACGCAACGAACGTTTTCGAGAAGACTTCCATCAATCATGCTCTACACTGGCTGGGTAATGCGATGGAAGCCAAATTACCCATGCACAACAAATTATTTTGGAATTGACCTGCCTGCGCCGTGGGTGAGACGAACTTATTCCAGAATAGCAGGTCCAGGACCTCTCTATGATTACCTACTCAAGAGAAGGGCGAAGCCTTTCGGACAAGTGTCGATCTGACGCCTGATTGCGCCAGCTGGTTCTACGGAGTCGCGCGTGCCACGGCCTGGTGGTCCGCGCATGCGGGTTGTGCGGTGCGCGACATCCGTGGCTGACCTCATCCCTTTTACTTCGCCTCTAGGAGCAGCACCGGGGAGGCTGGGCATGTGCGTGGGGGGTTGGTCAGCGCAGGATAGAGAGGGAGGGAGGGAGAGAGCGCGGGAAAGAGAGAGAGAGAGAGAGGGAGAGAGAGAGAGATAGAGAGGGATGGAGAGAAAGAGAGAGAGAGAGAGAAAGCGAGAGAGAGAAAAAGAGAAAAGAGAGAGAGAGAGAGAGAGAGAGAGAAAGACGGCCGGCATCCCAACTGATGCCCGCGCCGCACGCTTCATCGGGCACCGAACCAGTTCTTTGCGCAAGCGGCCCACTCCCATGCATCCCAGCTGGTGCTCGGGGGTTGTGTCGGGGTTGGGGTGTCACGCCCCCGCGCTGCTTATGTGCTTGGCATCCCCCAAACAGTGCTTGCATATTGTTACCTTTCCTCCCGCCCGACTGCGGGTCCCACACCGCACTGTGCTTGTTCTTGATTCACCCCCCCTCCCGCCCAACTGCGACTGGGCCACGTACTCGTTCGGTCCCCAGCTCCCGAGGCACGTCGCCAGCACGGTTCCCTTGCCCCCAAGCTGGGGGGTTTCCGTGCCAGGAGGGCTGGGCAGAGATCCCCCCTTGATGCTGGGGCAAAACATCTAGGCATGGGTGTTTGTCTTCACATGTACAGACGTAAATGTCGCAGACACGTTCAACATTGGGTTTATATAACGATTGAAAGCACCGTCTTTCAGGGACACATACCGCCACGCTGGATTCGGAACGCTTCAGATCGCGCCACTCGGGCCCGCATTCCGCAGACATCTCACGACATCATCCCGACGTCGCCGATGCACGGCGGTGCGGTGTGATCTTCACGATCCCGCTCGCTCTGATCCGCAGAAAGCGCCACCACCATGCCTTGCCAGGGTTTCGGCCAGGAGAACAAACCGCGCCTGGGCCCAGAGTGGCCTTGGCCAGGCACGGTGGTCCCTCTGCAAGTCTGGCCGTGCTCGGTCTCAACAGGCCCTGGCGGCGGCGGCCAAGAAACCGTTCGAGGCGAAGGCCGCTGAGCTGAAGGCCGCGTACGACAAGGTGCGCGGTCGGTCGGCCTGCTCTTGGGGCCCGTGGGGGGGGGGCAAGGCCAGCCGAACGGACCCCGCTTGGCCGAGGCACGCAGCAGCCCCCGGCCTCCCTGCCGCTTCCGGGGGCTCCCAGAGGCGTTCAAGCCAGAGCTGTTTCGCTGCTTTTCGAACCTTGTGTGGCCGCTTCAGGGCCGTGGGGGGCCGTCAAAACCGTGCCCCCCTGGGGAGGGGATCGAGAGTCAATACCGTTGTACCGTTCTATGTGCCCCCATCCCCAGTGGGTCAGGCTTCCTTGACGCCACCAGCCTGCCGCCTCCTAGATGGGGCTAGGCGCCACGGAATCCGACGGGAACAGCATCTATCTCCACTCAATGAAGAGGAAATATCGGCTAGCGTGAAGATGTGTACCCAACGGGCCTGGAGATTGGTCCATCCATCGATGTCGAGGGAGTCCTCGTCGGAGGCCGAGGGTGCGAGCAGGTCGGGTGGTTGGATGCCCTGGGGGTGGGCCGATGCCGCGGTAGCCTCTGCTCGGCGGCGTGTTGGGGAGGGAAGCAGAAGGCTCAGGAGGCCTCCGAGAAGCTTTCTAAGCCTTGTCTTAGGACCCGAGGCCTTCTGAGAAGGCCTGCCCCCTCTCAACGCCCCCTTCGGCGCGCCCCCGACCTGCAGTTTTTTTTGTTGGCTTTCGGCAAGCGGTGGTCCGTCGCGGCCAGCTCCTTGGCCCACCCCTCCGGGCCGCTCGGGCGGCCCTGCCGGGCCGTGGGCCCGAGGCCCTGCAGGAGTGGAAGAGCAGCGGCGGCGGCGAGGACGTGGGGGGGCCGCACCCATGTGCTTCACGCCGCCTGTCCGGCCGAGGAGCCAAGAGCTGTTCGGCGCTGGAGCCGGCTCGGGGGCTGAGGTGAGGCATCGGTGGTTCCAGCCGTTGAGAGAGGGGGAGGGGCACCACGGTACACAGGTGTCGTTCTTTGTCCTCTCTGGGCCGCCTTGGGTACTGAATGGCGAATCTGCTCCCTTTCCCCTCCTCACTGGTTTTGCTGGTGCCCATCCAGAAAAGACCTCCCAGCCGCTTGCAAGTTCGGCGCAGGAATCCGGTGAATGGGCGGTCCAGCGTCCCAGAGGTTGGGAAGCTGGCGCGTCTATGCACTCAGCTCCTTGGCCGACCAGGCGGTTCAGTGTACACTTTCGAGCCCCTCCCAGGACGAGGACGGCGAGGACGACGAGGAGACGGCGGTCCTCGGCGGAGCCTGATTGGCCGACCTGGCTCTGAGCGTGGCGCGGGCCTCCCTCGACCTCCGCGCCAGTTCGCCAGTTTCAGCTCCCATTTCGGAGGAGGAGAAGGTACCTGATGCCGCTACCTTTCCCTCGTTTTCGCTTTTTCGAGCCCCTGGGGATGCCCTCGTCATCACGGCTAGATTCGCCTCGAACTTCTGGTCAGAACCCACCCTGGGAGAGTCAAAGTCGGGGAGCAGCGGTGTCAGTATCTTTTTGGTTTCCCCACCATTCTCCCCGAGGGATGTTCGTGTGATGATCTGGTTCTCATGGCTGGAGGGTGCGTGGTCAAGCACGGCCCTTAGGTCGCGGGAACTTTTTTTGTTGCGCTGGCGATGCAATGTACTCCACGTTTCTTGACTGGCCGACAAGTTAAACAAACAGCATGCACAGCGAGTTTGCGGAGCTCGTGAATGACGCTTTGAGCGCTCGTGCATGTTCCGGTCATCTGTTCAATCTTTCTTTGCCGTCCTCGCACACGATCTCTTTTATGTTGTTTTACCATTCGTCGCTCATCTCCCCCTTGGCCGCCCTGTTCCTCTTTATCCAGCCAGTGCTCCTGGCTCTCCTCTTCGTGCTCCTCCTCTCTTCTCCCCCCCCTCCTCTACATACTCTTTGTGTCTGGCCGGGGAATGACGCTCTTCTCCGCCAAGGTGTCCCCGCCGTTGTCTCTTCCGCTCCGAGGCCAGGATCTTCTAGATATCCACCGCCTTGGGCACCGATCTTGCTGGCCCTCGGAAGGCTATGGATTCAGACCTGCAGGGAATGGAAAATACGGAATCTGAGATTTCCTGCATCTTCGACCTCTGAAGGTTGTTTCCAGTCCCGCAGGCCGTCAAAAACGACAGAGGATGGAGAGCCGGTCGTTTGGGTAGGGAGGCCTCAGAGGTCCATGACCCGTTCCTCAGGATCCGCTTCTTTGGTGCCAGTCTTCGTCGTCCTCGCTCCCAACCCCCAGCCCACGGTCGATTCTACCTCTTCCCCTGAGCAGGGGTCTGTGTCATTCGGGGCGGATTGTGCGGTTGGCCTGGTCCCTCCGCGAGTTACCTTTGGAGGCAGAAGGGTGAGGAGGAGGAGGTCAGTGGTGGGTGGAATAATCAGATGGGCAGGAAAATGACGAGGCTGAGCAGTAGGAGTAAGAGGAGGCTGAGGAGCTGGAGCTGAGCGCGGTGCTGTCGACAGTCCATCCGCGCAGCTGGCACAAATTTTACAAGTCTGGTCCGAAAGCATGAGGCACGAGGATGCGCCGAGCGATAGCCTCATTTTGAAGAGGGCAACTTCAGTCTGTCTAATTGATGCGCAATTTGTTGTGCCATACATCTTGAAGAAGTCTTAAGCGAGAGCGCACCATGCTGAGAAGACAGCGCCCTCCATATTCGTAACGCTTGAGCTTTTAAGACGAAAGAGTGCGACGCTGGGGCAAGAGCCTCATTTCGAAAGCCACCCGTTATCCATCTTTCTATTTTGCACATTTCTATATATATATATATATATATATATGTCGCTGCGGCGTGAGCCACACAGGCCCACCATCTTCCAGTGCAATTGCTTCGATGATTCGAGCTTCTCTAACGGTGAGAAAGTCTCATTCGTATCACCCAGCAGGCCCTACCGAGCCGTCTGGTGGCGCGACGGGGAGGAGTCATTGAGTGGCCTTCGGAGCATCCCGCCACCCTGCCAGTGTCGTGGACCAGAGGCCTCTTACGTATCTTTTAGCAGGTCTTTTGGGCGGCATGGTACGCTTTTTTGAAGTCTTTTGGGGGCGTCTTGGAACCGTCGGACGTATATTGAGGATTCTCTTGGACTGTCTTTGCGCTGCCTTCGGCTTCGATTATTTGGACAGCTGTCTTTTGCCGTCTTGGGGGTCTTTGGGGCATGTAGGGCAAGTCTAGGGGCCTTATTTGCCAGTCTTTGAGCTCTCGGAAGCCATGTTGAGCCGAGAAGCCGACCAGCCGAAACACATTGAGCACCACACTTTGTGATTATTATCACTGTCCCGGGCTTATCGTGGATCGTCTAGGAGCTCGTTTGGAGGGTTTTGTGGGCCTCCTGGGGCCCTCTTGAAACCTCTTACAGCCTCTCTGGCACTACAGCTGTCTGGGTTGGTGGTGCACTCTACAGTACGTGCTGAGATGTTGTACAAAGAGTATTGGCGGAGAAGGAGGAGGAGGTGGACCAGAGTAAACCAACGGTGCACACACGATGCTGCAACACACCCTCTCGTCAGAAGTCCCTTCCCCTAACGCCCCCGCAAGTCCTCTTTCTCATTACAAGGTGCGCCCCCTTGAGAGACCAGCACAATCGGGCTTGCCCCTTCGGCGAGCATCCTGCTTTGACAAGACATTGCCTTGCATCTTAATTCTTGAATGGTGCGTAATGAGGAGCGCGAGATACACTGATCATACAGTTCAGAGAGGTGTCCTGCGATCGAAGGACCGCTCTGAGGGTTTGCCCGTGTGGTCATGCACAGCGAGGCAGTCTCAGGTGACAACTTCGTTTTGAAAAAAGAGCCGCCATGAATATGTGCAGCGCTACGCGCGTTGTCTTTTTGGCTCTCTAAACTGAGCGAAGTCTCCGGCGAGAGCTCTGTACTGAAAAGGGTCGTCCCCCCTTCCTGCTACGCGTTCCATTAGAAAAATAATGCGCGCGGCGCTGAGGCGAGAGTCCCATTTTGAGAACGACCAGCGCTCAATCCCTGAACTTTTTGCAGACTTTTGACACGAATAGTCTGGACGTTTCGCATAACCCCACCAGCGCGCCACTCGTGCCGGCTCCTGGTCAGTGACGTTTTCCTGGCCATCGGTGACAGCGGTACCTCCTGGAATGTAATGCCAGCGAGCTGCCCCCTTCAGGGGCTGGGTTCATGGGCGTCTCGTGTGGTTTATCCTACGTCTAGTCCTCGCCCTCCGCGGCCACTTGTCAGCGTTGTGTGCGACTTTGGTGGCGTCACTTCCATGCACTAGGTCCCTGGTCAGTGAGTTCTTCCTGGCCTTGCTGGTGTCTGCGGTCTTTCGTGATGGCGCTCCTGGCTTCATCCTGGTATCGTTCCGGCGCCATTTTGGCTGCGCCCCAACATCGGTTGGCTAATTTGCATGTGCTCGCTCCTGGACCTGGTTCCTGGCAACTGCAGCCCGCACCACCTCCCGCTTCCGATGATCTGAGGTGCCGTTTAGGCCTCTGTTTGCTGGCGCGTTAGGCAATTAGGTTCGCGCGCGGCCCGCCAGTCCCGTTTGACGCCGCCTGCGCTTTCGCTTGCGGCTGCGACAAAAAAATACCCCCACCAGCCCATCAATATATGATGCCTGGGCGAATTGCCTTGATCAGGGATGCGGAGTATAATGCAGTGGGAGAGCGAATTGGGTAAGACCTTGTACCCCAAGAGGGGAAGGATGGAGGATGAACCCGAGGAGGAGGAGGAGGAGGAGGAGGAACCGGAGGGGGAGGAGAAGGAGGAGGAGGAGGAGGAGGACGTCGAGGAAGAGGGAGGGGGAGCGGAACGTGGACAAAGAAACGAAGAGGAGGAAAAGGGTGTGTGGGAGGGGGAGGAGGCAGCAGGGAGGAGGAAATGTAGGTGGATGAGGAGGAGGATGAGAAGGATGATGAGGATGAGGAGGATGAGGAGATGCAGGAGGAGAGGGTTTGGCGTAAGACAACTTGACATATTCGATACGGTAACCGCTTTTGTTACAGACAGGCTGATCCCACCTGCGCGCGCCTACTCCAGGCACCGCGATATTCAGATATTCCTTCCCTCTTGGTCTCGTGCGAGCCTCCTGAACCAGCGCGGCACAGGCTCGGAAGGGCCAGGCGCCACCAAACACGGCTGTCTGTGGCGCTATACAGTGTTTATCGGAGACTATCAGAGTACCACCGTGCACAGCTTCACGACGGTCAGGAGATGGCAAACGTGACATGTGGCAAATGTGATCGCCAGGTCAACAATTGGCACAGCCATTGTCGTTGCGGACAGTCCTGGCGGAGCCAGCAGAACCATAATGGCAACGCAAGGGCGCGGGACCAGAGCGCCGCAAGAGAGAAACAGAGAAAGGAACAGCACATTCGAAGTCACGCACAGATGTTGCCGCCCATGCCACGCCAGGCAGTATCACATCACTCTGCCTTCCATCCAATTCCAACGACGCCTCAGTATATCCCAGCATTGAAGTCGGTGGTGGAGTCCCACTTGCTGAATGCGGCGAGTACGGCTGTATACGCGAGGAAAGCATGAACAACGGAGAATTGATTGTGATGTGTACAGTAATATGATAGGAATGATTATGCTGGTGGTGATGATGATAATGCGGATGATGATGATGATGATGATGATGATGATGATGATGATGATGGTGGTGGTGGTGGTGGTGGTGGTGGTGATGCTGCTGATGACGATGCTGCTGATGCTGATGCTGATGAGGATGCTGCTGCTGATGATGACGGTGGTGATGGCAATGGTGATGGTGATGCTGCTTTTGATGATGACGATGATGATGCTGATGATGATGCCGACGACGATGATGACGACGATGATGAACATTATGATGCTGATAATGAGGATGATGCGGATGCTGCTGCTGATGATAATGCTGATGAGGATGATAATGCTGCTGATGAGGATGATGATGCTGATGCTGCTGCTGATGATGATGGTGATGATGATGAGGAAATATGAATCTGAGGATGAGGATGATAATGATGATGATGATGACGACGATGCTGATGCTGGTGATACTTCTGATGACGATTATGCTGATGCTGATGATGATGCTGCTGATGCCAATGATGGTGATGCTGATGCTGATGCTGATGCTGCTGATTATGGTGATGATGGTCGTGGTGGTGGTGATGATGATAAGGAGGATGAGGGTGAGGGTCGTGGTGGTGGTGATGATGATGATGATGATGCTGGTGGTGGTGGTGGTGAGGGTGAGGGTGAGGGTGAGGGTGACGGTGACGGTGAGGGTGACGGTGAGGGTGACGGTGAGGGTGAGTGTGATGATAGTGATGATGTTTGTGGTTATGATGATGACGATATTGATGATGATGATGCTGATGCTGGTGATGATGATTATTATGCTACTTATGAAGATGCTGATGATGCTTATGTTGCTGATGACGCTGATGATGATGCTGATGATAGTGGTCGTAGTGACGATGATGATGGTTGTGCTGGTGATGATGTTGGTGATGCTGATGATGATGTTGATGCTGACGATGGGTATGATGATTATGATGATGATGGAGATGATGATGATGATGATGATGATGATGATGATGATGTTGGCGATGACGATTCTGATGATGTTGGTGTTGTTGGTGGTTGTGTTTATGATTGTGATTATGCTGCTGCTGCTGGTTCTAGATGATGATGATGATGATGATGATGC